TCAACTGAAAGAAATTCAACGCTAAGTAACGCCCTCTTTATACGGTAGTTACTAACAACTCAATGAAAAGTAGCATCAAGTTATGCTGCATTAATACAATGGCAAACTTGTAACAAGCAACAACAAACTGAATCTGCCGGGTACCTTAGTGTTAATACAAAGTTTTAATTAGCTAAACAAACGAGCAACTGGTTTACGAATAAGTAGGTACATTGTATTACGGTATAGAATAGCAACTCCTCTGGTTAATATACTGTACTTCACTACATCAATAATCAATATTTTTGGAACAAAATCTAAGGAATACTTTAACATAACACAATATTACGCTTTTTATCCCAGAAGGGCAGAGGTGCATATTATGGCACTTAGTGCCACTGTACAATGTAACACCTACTTTTCACTATTTATATTATGAGTCTTGTGGAATAGGGGGTCTGCCTATTGCCATATGCCGGGTACTATTTCAAACTCCGTACTACTATTGAGTAATCGTTAAAAAACCCAGTTAGTTTGCCCGACCCGGGAATCGAACCCGAGATCCCTTGCCCGGCAGTCACACTTGGGAACACTCGGCCAACGAGGACTACGTTAATTAATCATTCAATGTGTCTGAGTACGATGGTCAATCAATATCAAAGTTAAATTATTTAGTTATAAACATAATAAGGGTCAGATTTTATACTACAACGATTAGATTTGAAAAGACTGAATTTTATATTTTAGCAGCGATAAGCGAAAAAGCATTTGCTACGAACATACGAGTAGGGAAATGTCTTAAACTAAACTAAAACGTAACTTCCAACTGGTTTGGAAAAAAGTTAATACTGAAAACAGGTTTAAACAGTTTCGAGTTAACGTCACAAGCGAACCGCAAGCTTCCATTAACTTTTAGAACGAAATCAATTCACCACAAATCTTTTATGAAACTCTATTTTATGTGACCGTTATTTAACCAGATATCGAATGCCAGTTTGCCAACGTAAATCCCTCGGCTGACGAGTTAAAAATTGTAATCAAGAAAAAGTGTCGGAAACAAAATGATTTAATGTGAAGCCACCGAGAATATTACTCGTGTTACTGGAATAGTTTATAAAGAAGAAGATAATACGTAATTAAAATGTAATTGGAAACTTATGATTTATCTCGTTGGTAGATAATGTTGTTGATTGCGTGGTGCAGTTAATAGAAATATGTTTTATATTGCATATTCGATGGGCGGAAAGCGATGATGCAGCCTACGATGGAGCACGTCCACCCCTACCTATTCACTCGGGCTCTGAAAAGCCAGGACCAAAACCCAGATTATACACTTCAGCCTTCAGGAAACACGGACGGAATTCTTTGCCAGAAAAAACTCTACTTACTCTGTTACTCTTTCTCTCTCTCTCTCTCTCTCTCTCTCCCATCTCTTTACGTTGCTGTTTAAATAAAAAGTCGAAACTCATCGTATGTAGGGACATAAAACAACCTGGAATATTGTATTGTCTAGTAAATAGCAGTAGTGACGTCGCGTCATTTGATTTCGATTCTTGGATAAAATGGTTGTACAATTATCATTTCCAACAATTTTCCGGTACGTTTATCCAAGATCTCAGTATCATATCGGACAAAGCATAGTACCTGCTCAGATTACGATTTGTGAGTTACAGATCTTTATTTCAGGAAATCTGTTACATTTCCCCTCCATGCACATATTCCTTCTATTCATGTCATTAAACAAAAACTGAACGCGAGTATATTTAACTACCCAAAACTAGAATTTCATTCTCCGTCGGGAACTCGACGTTAGCAAACACAAACAAACACATATGTTCATTCGAATTAAAATTAAATAACAGAAAACTAATTAAAACTTACTTCAGTTTAATGCCAGTCAATGTTATATCAACTGCAATGTTCATTTACATAGGAACTAAGAATCTACATACCTAACAAGTACATTTTTATCGGTTTTACTCCTGAACTCCATTCTACCAATCAAGCCCTTTCGATGAACACCTATGAAAGTAGTTGGGGAAAAATTAGATTATAATATGGTATGGTCATCAAGATTAACTTAGTTTGACTGTTAGATTAAGTCATCAAAATTAGGATGACTGGCAGAGAATGCTGTTAGCATTAAGTATTCCTTATGCAATTGTATAAAACTTAAATCCTTACTGATATTATAAATCGAAAAGTGAGTTTGTTTGTCTGTTCCGCTTTCACGCCGTAACTACTAAACCGATTGCTTTGAATTTTTGCAGACGTAAAGTTAAAAGTCCAGATTAAATAATAGGGTACTTTTTATCCCGGAAAAATTTTACATTCCCAAGGGAAATCAAAGTATTGGTATAGATGGCGCTGTGTGTATTGGTATATGTCACACAAGCTTTTTATCCTTTTGTGACGCGAGCGAAGTCGCGGGTAAAAGCTAGTAAATAAATAAAATTTAACAGTGTATACCAAATATCAGATCGATCGGTCGTCCGAACGAACCCAAACAAAAAAACCGACAGCCAAGCTAAATAAAACTGTTTAGTTAGATATAAAAAAAAATACAAAGACACACACTATATAGACCTATATATAGACTAGACCTAGGGACACACATACAGACTCGTCTTGTCTAACATTCATATATGAGGAGTGATTTAATTTCGATCCCGTGTAAGGAAGCAATCATTGGATGCTGTGAAGCTGTGCGCATTGAGAGTACCTACATACGGTTGATTGAGATGCAGTTCAAGACATTCCGTCACACCTCTCATCTCACTTTCATTATATGCGCTTTGAATGGAATATCTTTGATCGCTGAACTTGTAGTGAAGATGTTTTTGTTAGTAAGATGATGTAGAGGTACAAATACATACTTAATTATGTTTTTGAGTGCATATAAGTGTCTGTCGAGTTTTGGGTTACCTATGTGTATTAGAATAGGCTCGGCCTCTATTGTAAATTTGCAAACGACTGTTACATGCTTCTGTACCTCCCTAGTCGCATATTAAGTCGTGATGTTGTGTTTTCTATGTGTTTCTTCAGAATTTAGTTCAATGTTCTTGAATTAGCTGCCAAACGTTAATAACGTGCCGTGTAATGTGAACGTTTCCTTCAACACAAACAAGAATCAGATTACAATAAGAAAAAATGTCAGCTACAAAATTTGTATAGAAAAACATGATATATTCTTATATAACATCACGTTTTTATTTCCCCAAGGACGTAGGCTGAGATATAAGCACATAAAATACACATTATGTAGTAGAAATAGCTACATAACTAATGATATGTGAATGAACATTATCCGTATGGTCTCCTTACTACGATCGAGTCCGGAATTTTCCAAATTAAATCGCCCACTTACACAACTAATCCTATTTTAAGTAACTCATAAAATGTTAGCGTTCAATGAAAGTAATCACGTGATCCAAAGTTATTTGATCTCGAAGTATTCATTCAGTGAGTATATATTAATAGATTCTATCGAAACACTTAACTATGTGAGTTTTGAGTTCTCCAAATAGTTTTACAACCTTGACCGGGGTCAGATCTCCGAAGTTGGGAACATTTTCCTCACGATGCCAATGTGAGGTCCCTCATAACCCCCGCCCCTCCTAGTTCACCCCTCACAGAATCCGCGTGACGCGCGTCTGTGCTGACCTTGACACAGTTACTAAACGTTTCGACTGAACTCCAACCATCGTCTTCCTGAACAACAATAGTTAAGAATTTACCAAATTTAAACATTTTTCTCTACAAACCACTGATGGACAATTGGTTATTTGTCTTACAAGGCGTGGCCTAAAATGGACTTGCAAGACAAGTAACTAACTAACATCCTTTTTACAAAAACTTTAATGACAGAGACAAACATCAGTGACGTCAGCCCTTAAGTCGAGTCTACGACACCTGCAGAAGGTGTAGCGGTGCAGACAAATCTATTCTCTCGTGAAAGAAACACAAACTAATTTCGATTTCAAGAGCCATTTAATCTAGATTGGTTTCAATGAAGACAAATACATACTTCACTCGTGCTATATGAAATTCTTCTATAATTGTCAAAGAAGAAGATATTACCAGCGATGTACTTATCGAGGCACTAATATTAGTTCCCGTTTTTATTGTTACAATTTAATGTTGTCAATGAAACAATAAATTGCTAACAATCTTACTGCCGTATACAGAGACATCTAGTGATTACTTAAACTGTTCCTTAGTAACGATTTTGTTCCGAAAAGAAATGCAATGACCAAGTAACAATTACTTGAACGCGTAGAGAGGATTTGACTTCAACAGTTTTCTGTCGACAGTCAAAAGCTTAATTTAATAACAATTTAACCATACACTAATTAATTATATATCACTGTAAAAGTCGAAAACATTTATTTACGTATATATTTTATATAGGTACTTCCTACTCCCAAAATACACAACAACGTTGACACAAATTCCGTTTATTCATTTCACAATTTAAGCTTTAAACTCGTGTCTCCATTTCAAAATGCCGAATATTCCGGTGAAATGAACATATAACGCGGACTTTGTGACAGGAGAGCCTTTAAAATATGGAAATATTACATGTGCTGTATCTGTGGTGGCCTCACATACATATTGTATAGGATGTAGGATTGTAGGTACAGGCGACGTGGTCGGCAGACACGTACCAAATGTAAAATGTAATTTATTTACAACATTCCCAAGTTTTAAACGAATTTGAGAACGTATTCTGTTATACTCACTGAATTGTTTTTGATATAGATTTTTGATTCAATCGTTATTTTTCACGCTATACAGAGAAAATAATGATGACGCTAAAAAAAGCTTAGGTAGGTAGTACTATAGCAGAGTTTCACTGGATGACTAATTGTATGTTATTTATAATATCTGCCTCGTTGGCCGAGCGGTCGCAAGTGTGACTGCCGGGCCAGGGGGCTCGGGTTCGATTCGCGGGTCGGGTAAAGTATCACTGGGTTCTTAAAACTTGGAATTGTGCCCGGTATATGGAAATAGGCTCACCCCCTTTTACATGGGACTCATAACATAAATAGTGAAAAGTGAGTGTTATATTGTACAGTAGCATAATGTGCACCTCTGCCTACCCCTTCGGGGGTAAAAGGCGTGAAGTTACGTGTATGTATTTATAATGTATTTTAAACATGGATGTAACAAATATTTGTGATTGTCAATTAAATAGGTAGAGGAAAGAATCATGAACTACATATCTTAATGGCGTGCTAACGATACCGTAAATAAGAAACTGCCAATAAATACTAAATAACGACTCGATATTCCAGGAAATGTTTATATCATGTGCTTTCAAAAATTATGTTATTACCGTTGTTAATGAAGCGGAAATCGGTTCACCTGAACCACGAGGAATAAGATAGCATTTTTTTTATAAGCGTGGAATATCATCGAATGGCTGCTCCCGCCTGGGTGAGGCGGGAGGGAGTGTCAGACTCTTACTGACTAAATACCACCCCGTTCCTTCTCCTGCACGTCGAGCCGGAGCCCTGGTAACCCGCTAGGTTTTCCGCGACAATAAGATAGAATATAATAATATTAGTAGTGATTTTACAAGGGATTGGCGAGTATTCTCAACGTACTCAATACTCAATACGTTTATTGCACTCCATATGTTTATAAGGTGTTACATAATAATATAGTACAGTATAGACCCTGTAGGGCACGGCAACGTAGAAGAGAGGAGGACGCTAATTTTATTTAGATTATCTATCGCAGATTTTTTATTACTAGTTATTTTGTTCAATTTATTTTGTAATGCATGTATGTTTTTTAAAGTAATAATTGGACATACCCGTCCCGAATTTTGCCGGAGCTTTACATATCTATATTTTGAAGAGGTATTTTGAACACAAAGCATTTACAGAGCATACTCAGAATACCCTAGAATATTATTAAAGTGTGAGCAATGCTTATTAGGATGGGTTAGACAAAACACACACATTGATTTGAAACATTAGTATTTTATCTTTTACCCAGGTGTGTGACCTACCTAAATAAATACAACAAGGACTATGAATGAGTATGCTCTCTCGTGCTACCTCTGTTCGCTTCCGCGTGTGGCCACGAGACCCGCGCACCTGCCAGACAGCTTGGCGACCCTCCAACGCCCGCCAGCTACTACAGAACTACGGATGTGTCCGATATTAGCCTACTACTATATTACTACTACTATATTACCGCACAATGCAGCCAATAACCATGTTGAGATTTGATTTGTAACTGCTATCATTTCTGGAAGTAAAACTGTCCTATATACTTTTCTGATTTTAGTTTCTAGTCTAGCTTTAACCTCAGATTGTCCTGGAGTTACTTATACCACCTAGAGGTCCATGTTTCAATGTTCATGAAAAGGGAATTAACTTTTACATTTTGCTGGTTTAAAAATATATTTCTAATGTTAATAAAAATTGTCCTTTATTAATTATTATGTTTTTCAGTTTACTCACGTAATTATTTGACGAGGAACTCGACTAGTATCAATCCATGCTTGTCGTCCTCGTCAAATAGGTACGTGCGTAAGCCTAAAAACATAATAATTTATTTAGTTTGAATGATTGCGTCACAAAATGTTTGCATCTTCTTAACAACTTTGGAAAATACAAGACATCAAAATAAAGCTTCCCAAGTTACCTATTGAACCAGAAACTCTTAACTTTATATCGTATCTGCAAATCATAACGACTATACTTTCATACAACTTATGAATACAAATATCGGGAGCACACTGTGCCAAGCTTGCCTGGATACAAAGGAACTTTTCTCTGTACCTACACATACACAATCTGTGTCAGTTTACTTAGTTTTATTTTATCTGTGTTCTAACTGTCTCCAAGATCTCATTGTGGGGACTGTAACAGCGCTAGCTCAGTTAATTTAATCACTGAAGAAACGATGTCTCGTAAAAGGGGAGTGACCAGCTTAAGGCAGTGCTAAAGTTCGCCCTCTTTGTGGTACCACCATAAAGCCGAGGCATCGTGGGACAAACTCGTAATACACCGGCTTTCTCTTGTGTAATAAGATACTGTACATTATTGTATCCACTTTAACTTAAAATGTTATTTTAATTCGTTCTTTAGAGGAGTATTTAATATAATGTACTCCAGGGTTATCTACTTGTAATTTTCCCCTCGTAGCGCAGAATAACTTCCATGCACGGCGGTAACTCCGTGATAAGTTTTCTGAATAAATCTTGTATGACCAGGCCACTATTTCATACATAAAATAACTACGTACTTTTTAATATTCACGTCGCTTTGTAGAAATAGAGCCAGAGAGGTTTCAATAGTCGAGTAATTCTGAATAAACAACTTCTTAATGAACTGTTTATTTTTCAAAGAAATTAAAAAGGTAATAAAAGGAAGCATGTTCCTCTGAATGCAGTAGCTAAGTGAGGGGAAATTAAGTTTCACGAATATCCGCGCGGCGTCCCGGGGCGACGGGCAGCGCTCTCTTTGATAACGCACATTGTTGTCCTTTTTATGTCCTTTGCAATGTTTAGCTAAACAAACGAATTATCAAGCAATTTATTCAACATAATCTAGAACAAAGCTACCAACAACTGCACGATTAAACTCAATTTACACTTGAATTGAAATAGTTAGAGTATTTCGAAAAAAGAATCCGAATTATTATGTCAAAAAGATGAATGAAAGTGTCATTGTCTTTTAAGAAGTTTCATCAGATAATTTATTTCAGGACGAGGAAATATCCCTATTACAAGCTATGACACTGATAGGTACCTAATGTCAAGGCGATAAGAACTTTAATTTGATGAGCTAAGGACTCAAAGTCCAATTAATTTCAATCTCTCTACAGTTAAACGCTTGACAGCGTATAATTTAATGCAGTATTTTTTAACTCTGACATTAGTGTGACCTAGTTTCCTTGTCTTTACTGAGGGACGACGAATAGTTGGCTATTGTTCTAACCCCAAACGGCCACAAAAATACAGTAGACTATCATTAATACTAATATAAGTCCGGATACCGAGCCCACAGTCCGCGGGTCGCGTGGTCGCGTGGTCGCCGCATTATGGGCCCAGCTTTAATTCTTTTTATACGCTCACATGACGTCACGGGGCTCTGATTGGCGGCCGCGCCCTGAACCCGCGCCTCGCGGCCTATATGATGACCCGCGAACCTTCCCCGATTCCAAACCTTCCAATTTTATTGTCATGGTAATGGAGTTGGAGCCCCATTAACACAAAATGCTACAATCAACTCTTACTAACTAAAACATTTAAATATTCATGCCGTCTGAGTGATTCTATACATAAACGCCTTGATCGTCAACAAAGTTCGTTGGTAAAGGTTTCCTTGCCTAAAATAAGTAATACATAATAAAGTTCCCACACAACTCCCCCTCCTCTACTTAGTCTAACTTAGAATGTTAGTGAAAGGTCACGTGCGCCTCAAAAACTGTTGTGTACTTTATTAAGTGGGTGCTTATTGTAAGTTTTGGATGTTTAGATGACCTAGTTTAGGAATTATGGAGGTATAAAGTTTACGGAGTTTACGGCTACAACTTTATTGAGATTTTTAGCAGGACGTTGGTCTTTTTCGCTGTCTTGAAAGTGGGTTACTGTCAGGGAATAATAGACGTACTTACCTAAGATTAGGAGCATCATTCTCAACTTAACATAAACACAATAATATGAGAATTGTTCTGGTAATCCAACAGCTTTATGCACGAGTAATTCAAACGTGCAGATGGTGCGGTAAGATTACCCAAATGCCCGGCGAAATACCGACACTATATAGATCTTAGTCCACCTGTCCTGCTGGCACTTACACTCACTATAAGACTAGTACTATGGATCCCAAGGGAATAGACATGTACATATCCTTGTATGTATTTAGTGTGTGTTAACATAACTGTGTGTGACAATAACTGTGTCCAAGGCCATATGAGGGCCATATTACACTGACCTCCTGCTGTTATGTAAATGCAAGCTATTTCTATATGGGTTACAAGTAACACACTTTCTCGTACATACGAATACCTATATATAAGATACATACTTTTCTATCATTCAGGTTTCTGTAGTACTTAGGCAATTAGTACTACGTAATTAAAACGAGTCGATTGCGATACGTGCAAACTTTAAGCCGCGTGGGACTACCTCTAGAATTTGCAAATTTCGTGAACTCAGTCGATAATGTTCAGCAATCTCGATTGCAATCATTGGATCAATACGGCCACATATCTCATTTAACTTTGTTAATAGTTTTTTTTTAAGGGGGGAAACATCATCGAATGACTGCTCCCGCCTGGGTGACGCGGGAGGGAGTGTCAGACTCTTACTGACTAAAAACCACCCCGTTCCTTCTCCTGCACGTCGAGCCGGAGCCCCGGTTACCCGTTAGGTTCTCCGCGACTCGTTAATAGTTTAAGACGTTGCCCCACACTAGGATTTATTACTTGTGAATTTATTACTTCCGAAACCGAAAAAACAATTTGTGAATCACATTGAAATATTCTACGCGGAAATCGAAACCGTGTTAAAAACTACAGGAGTATATAGCCTAACCACTAGGTACGTTAAACGTGCCTTCTAGTAGTAGTTATCAACGTATTGTTACAGTTACCTAATTAGGTGATGTATCTGTTAAGTGGTTGCTCCAATTACGGGACACTTGTAACCGATACAGGCGACATCTCGCGTAGTTATTGGTCAGTTACTGCAACACTATCACTGATGTAATCTTATCACTATGTTGTAGCTTCTTCGAATAAATAAAATATATCAGTTGACTGTCGGCTCGGTGCGTTGCCGGTGTTAGTTTACAGTGTGTTGAACCTCGCAGTTTTTAAAGTCGGTAAAATGACTATAGTGTTGTGATCAAGTGAAATAATAGTTCTACTTATAATGTGATTATTGTAAATTAATTTGTGGTATGTATAAAGCAAACTTATAGAGATACCTACCAGATATGTGTTAAAAGAAAGAATGAGAATATAAATAATGTACGAGTAATGTAGGTGGATACTAAAGTATTAATTAAGACGTAATCAAAGAAGACAATCACCGTATATTTATAGAAAGAAGGCCGT